TGTTGTTTCTGGCAGCCACACGTTAGCCTCTGTTTGGAAACCAGTAGCCTCAGCATTGAAAGAAACATCTTCACTGAAGTGAAAATGTATCTTTAAAGTGTCATTCGCTCCCAAAATGGAAACAGTTGGCACGACAGAAATGTAGCCTGAATAGTTTGAACAGCCTCACCGAACGCAGTTGGTAGATGGAAAGATGGGAAAGTAACAAAGAAGGAGGAAGTAGCCAAAGCGACTTTTTTGACAAGCTCCGTAACCCCCCCCCACAAGAAGTACAGAATGATTTCCTCACCAATACCCACACCAATCCAACGCTATGCTTTCTACTGAGGTAATATCGTTGCCGTGGCTTTAGTAAGACCAGGAGTTTTGTAGGCAAGTTTGGAATCTATGAAAAAAAGAAATAGCAGTTTAGATGTATGTCTCGGTGCCATTGGCATCGTCAGTGAGTTGCAGTCCCAATAATTTCACTTCTTTGCGGAGAGTACGACGTACATAAGACGAAAGTAGCGTTCCTATCATGGACTCTACTCCAAGAAAGACTTTAGAAGGAATCACCCTTTTAATTAAGCCATCAGTGTTGAGCAGAGAGTTGATCAAAAGGTTAGTGGCTTCTGCACAGCTCTGCAGTCCGACTGGGTGAAAGGCGCGCTTTCCCCAATCCTTGTCATTATATGACTGGCCAAATTTCCGAGATCAACCGCCTGTCTTCGTCATGCTAAATACGCTTTGCACGTCACCTGCGATACGTTCCACCTGTTTAAAACAATAAGCAATAACTATGGGATGTTCATCGGTCGCAAAGCACCGATACCGACTTGAGGGAGCAGATGTCGCTCAATAATGCAGTACCGAGCGTATCATTTCGATAGAAACAACACGGATTGCCGAGTCGTGACTGCTGAAGTGAGTCATGTGCGCGTTGGCTGCGTCAGGAGAGGCAGTCACTGTGCAGTGCAGACGGTAGGGGAAAATCGTGACTGACTAGACTGCAAGTGAAACGACCACCCCAATAAAAGAAGAATAAATCCTCGCACGGGTGGGGAGAAAGAGAGGGGGGGGGGGGCAAAGAAGGGGGGATGGGGTCCGGGGTGGGCATTGTACTAACCATTTTCTTCCCCCTCCCCATCTCAAACATCTCCTCTCTCCCCTAAGCTTGTTTTTAGTGTGAGCCCTGCTGCTTCTTGACATGCTGGCAGCCAAACCGAATGTAGACGAGTTTAATCAGAGATAGCTGGGTAGTGTAGGTGGAGAGAGGAGAGACAGAGAAAAAGAGGATGAGGAGGAACAGGAGGGGAGTTTGGGGGTGGGGGCTGCAAACCTGGTACAAACAGGGAGGGGTGGGTGTCTAGTGAAGAGGTCCGGGTACAAATCGTGACCCGGTCTCCACCTTGGTACAATAACTTGTAGTTCTCTATAGGGACTTGCTCGGGGAACACAGGGGGTGGAGGAATTGCAGCGACATTGAAAAAAGTGATGAAGCAGTTGGAGGTGTGTGTGTGTGTGTGTGCGTGGGGGGGGGGGGGGTATTCTTTACATTTTACTATTTCTTTGCTAACTTAAATAGAACAAACAAAACCCATTAAACATGGTATGAACTCTCTATTAGAATGAGTGGTTGCGGTCGTGATCAACTGTTAAACTCTGGGTGTGACGTTCAGGGGTGTGCTATCGTTTTGCCAATTTATTCACTGTTGCTACACGAGCAGTAAACTCTTGCAGAGCATCTTGGAGCTAATATGTTTTTCTATGTGGTTTTGGTCCTACCTCAATGACACTGTGAATAACTGAGCCAGATGGGACCGGACTGAGTTTGCATCTCCGAGACCCCCAATGTCGTTTTTGCAGTGGTATCCTCCGGTGAACTCCATGAGTTTCCTCAGATGCATTTTGCAATGTTGTGCTTCAGGAAGCTCGGTACCAATCCTTGCTAAACACTTGCTTAACATCCAGTTGTTATTTATTACCATTATAATTTCGCTTGTTTGCATTTTTTTAGTGTTTGGTGCAGCTTGTTGCTGGCGCGTGGCGCTTGAGGAAAAGAAAGAGGGCGCTGCTTGTGATGAGTAGAAAATAGCTCACGCTTGCTGTCACATAATGTTTATTATAAACATTATCGCCATCACATTTGGCTGTCTCTTATCTTTATTACATTAGGCCTTCAGAGTGTTTTGCATCTATAGGAGCCTTGCAAATGCAAACAAAACCAAAAGGCAAAAAAAAAAAAATACTATTCAAGGTTGCATTACACATATCCCCGTATCAGTGCATGTAGCTTAAGTATACTCTCTCTGGTATAGATCACAAATTGTTTAGCCACCCCCCCCCCCCTTTTTTTTTCTAAAAAAAAAAGGGGGGTCCCTATATGAGCGAAACACCGATTGGTTGATGACGAGGTTAGGTTTGCTCCAATAAGATCCTCTCCTGCTCTCTATTTATTGCCAGCGTTTTACAGCCTTGCTCCCTCCTCATCCAGAGCTCTGGAGCGGCTGCAGACAGCCAGCGCGTTACTATGGGGGGGGGGGGGGGGGGGGCGCATCATGGAACAGAGAAAATAAACAGAGGAAGAGAGCGCTGACAACAAAACGCATCGATGCACAGCTCCCAGTGATCACACGGGCCTTTGCACATCCCAGCGTTTGGATAAGAGAAAAAAGATAAGCAAGGAGAGGGAAATGTGCAGGAGAGTCAGAGTAGGGAAAGATGAGAGGAGAGGAAAGGGATGGTTGAAGAAAGAAAAACGTGAGGTGAGATAGAGGAGAATTAAAACTGGAGGAGTGGGAAATGAGAGCGAAAGGACCTTGGACAGCTTTCAGCAAGATACCCCTCTTCTTTCTCTTTTGGTCTTTCTTCCATCCGTTCTTTTCTCTTCCTAGTGTGAGTGTATGTTGGAGGAACACACTCTCCTCGGATTGCCAAGGGCTGGAGATATAATCGACCGAGCCGGGATGGGAGATAAATTAATGGAAGCAAAAAGAGATCAGGCTACCTTGGTGTCACGGAGTCACCGTCGGACAGCAGCAGCAGCAGATAATGTCCTTCACGAATCTTTTTGCGGTCTGGGCTTGCTGTTCGTAACTATTAATATGGGAAGCCCTTACCCCAAAAAGCATTTGCGGAGGGCGCAATCGCCGCGCCAATACATCGACCACAGAAGACGGCTCCACTCATGGAATTCTACAGTCTTATTTTTTTAAGGACGTCTCCTGATTTCTTAGTACAGATTTTCCTTTGCATGGTTGTTGTGGTTATAAATTATTGTTATTTTTTCCATTACCGTACCAGTTATGCTTTTTTCGTAGTTGTTTTTTTTTTTTTTTTTTTAATCCTTTGGTTCCCCCCCCCCCCCCCCAACACACACACACACACCCACACCCACAAGTCTCAACAGTTTTCTTCTTTTTCAGACATTGTTGCAAAGCTCTGCAGCCACGTAGCAGCCAAGGTTTGCTTCAACTCTGTCAATGAAAGCCCTGTTTGCGTGTTATCAGTCAACAAGCACGCTGTTGGACTCTAAACCTTGGGTCTTTTATCATTAAGCCACTTAATTTTTCTCAAACAAACACACCCCTTACTCTTCATCCCACACAAAGGGACAGAGCAAAGTGTAAACACAGGGAGACCCTTGCAAGTTGCACGTGGATGATCGTGTGTGTGTGTGTCTGGAGGGTGGGGTGCCACTTTCCTTTACGTCACCCCAGCCTTCCCGCCCTCTTCTTCAAAAACAATTGTGGGAAACATGTGCGCGCACACATACACCTGTAAGTAAAGGGCATGAGGGATTCCCCAGTACGACCAACGTAACATTGGGTGAAGCCCAAATCAGGAGAGTTGGAGGAATGTGGTGCAGCCATAGACCCGTCCTAATACACTGTTTCTGTAGCACTTGGTGTGTATCCGTGTGTTTATGTTGTGGTGAAATCAAGGAAACATTCACCGCACATGGTACAGTTATCTTCCTCCCGGTTTTGTGAATAGCAGTTATTCCACTGCAAGCATCACCAAACGGTGTTCGCTGTCAACGTTAAAGAGCAAAGAGAACTGAACACGTCCCCCACTGCATGACCTTCAGATAAATAAAAAGATGAATACATAAATAAATAAACATGGGATATGAAAAAATCACCAAAATAGCACTCATCACTAAAATGTATACAGCCTAATATTTCAAACGATACGCTCTCGAGTGATTCAGCCGCTTTACTCTAAAGCCAAAATGATGTGCTTAGGCAAAGTAATCACACTGATTAAAATAAAAGCAAGAAAAGTCCTTCAACTGCCTCAACAAACAGAGTAAAATGAGCAAAAGAAGATTTAATGCAATTTCGGCTATAGGAAGAAGGATAGGAGGAAGGATACGTGCAATCTTGCTGTCCCATCACTGTTGATTGAGGTACACCGCAACAAAATTACACAGCAACCACGTGCAGAACAAAGAGGAATGAACTGAACATCGGCTTAAAAATTAAAAGAATTTTAATTAAATTATATCATCATTTTATGCTGGATGACCTGCAAGTGAAAGAGTGAAATTTTACATGACAGTGAACCATCAAGTGCGAAAAATTGCACAAGCAGAGACAGATACAACACCCGCAAAGACTAACATACCTGCTTTTTACCTTTTGAAACGTTGCCATCTTAAATTCTGGCTAATCAAAAAGAATGACATTCACACAAATGATTGACCCTATGAGACCTTTGTGGACGAAATAATTTTGCGAGGACAACGCACTTTACAGGAGGGCACATCGCTCCTCTGTTGCTCCCCTCATACAGGGTAACTTCAGTGTCTGAAGCGTAAATTGGAGCAGAGCTCGTATGCTTTATTAGCGTCAAGAATAGACGTCATCACATGCACAATTCAGTTCATGACGTTTTTCGAGCATTTGGAATAAGCTTGACCCCTAGGCCTCCTTCCTTTATCCCTCCATCTTTGACCACAGAAACGGCAGAAAAAAAAACAGGTGTGAGAGGTCCATGATGTCTCAGTAAATTGTCAGATGGAGAAGTTACTGACAGTAAGATTAAGTGTGGTCTTTAATGTACACGTGGTTTAATTTTCCTGTCAGAAAAAGACAAATGCCTTAAGACAAATGCGATAAACGGCTTTTGGATTCATGGCACTGCATTGGAACTAAAGGCCAAAGGCTATCAAGTTACCTCCCCTCCCCTCAACCCTATGTGCAACTCTCCCCTGTCTGTGTTGGCCTGTGCACACAATCGGAGACTTCCTTCATGTACCGTCATTTTGCTTCTTCCTCTATCTTGCAGAGGACGACAGTGACCTCGATGAAGATGGAAACAGGTGACTCGGTGCTGCTGGATTCCCCCCGGAGAAGAAAGGAGAAGAACGGTAAGACCTGTTTTGGACCTTTACGCAGAGGAGCATCTGAGAACGACACCGAGAGACCTTCTTCCCCCTCCTCCAAAGAAAGGTAATTGCACGGCCTGAGATGAGACTGACTGACGTCAAACCAAAATCACCCCTTTTAATTGTGTTTTGCGTAAGGCTTATGATTACTGTTAGGTGTGTGTGAGCTGGAGTTGCCCTCTTGCTCACGCCGGCTTCTCGTCCTCTCCTCTCATGTATCTAAATGAATGGATGTGTTTAAATAATCTATAGAAATAGTTATAATATTTGTCGGGTTGCCTCACAGTCAAACTTTTTAAGAAATCACATTTAAAAGGTGCGGTTAGTTCATCATCTGTCTCCGGTCACAATGTGTCCAAATTCAATCCACAGTCAATTTGAACTTAGTAATGATCCCCTCCCCCCTGTGGTTGTGTATTGTTGGCATCTTGTTGTGCACTTGGTTCTACTCCATGTTTGGGATTCTAGAATTGAAGTCGTCTCCTATATCCGACACTTCATAGAGGTATAACCTTAGATTTATTTGCTGGATTAAAAACCTCAAATAAAATGTCTGTAGCCAATATTTTATTCAGTTTTTCCTGAACCATAAATCAAATAGTAAGATGATAGTAAATCTTCATGGTTGATATAATTACATTGATGGGTCCTCATCCATGTTGACAGTTTAATCTTTGAACTGGCCTTTATCTGTAGATTATGAGAGACTTTGCCTATTTATAGTTTTATAGGAATCCATTGGTGGTGCATTCAGGTGCTATACATCCCTGTATCTCAGACAGACAACAGTGTTAAGAATAGATTCCATAATCATAACAGCAGCAATTTGGATATCAATATTGTGTACGTGAATGTATGATTCATATTAGATCACCAATACAAAACTCAATGTGGAGTGATTAAAAAAAAAGTAAATATTCCAATATGAAGGCTGATGAAAGTAACAATATAGTCTCGGGTTAATTTAAAGGCTCTTTTTAGGCAGACAACAGAGAAATTAGACTGTTCTTGTCTTATCCTGTAGATCAGGCATTTTTCATCCAATCATTTTAACTGTCATTTTTACCTCCTTTGTAATGTGTGATTTTATGTAATTTAAAACTATAATCCACAAAAGGCACTGCAACATCAGCAGAGAGAATTTAAGGTGAAAAATGTTAGTATGCAAACCTAATTTCTTTGAAAATATGTTCTTCTAACATTTCTAAATGCACTTTAACTAGATACTTTTATCTGAGCTCTCCTTCATTGCGGTCACCTGCTGTTTGCCTTTGAGTGATAGAAATAAATCTAATTGATTATTGCTGTATTGAGCTGGTGCTATACTGTATGGGTGGTGTACTGTGGAGGAAAAGGAATAGGGGTGGTAGGTGCTGAGGTGACTGTAAAGTCACAGTAAATTCATTTTCATATTTGTACCCCCTTGCATGTGAAGCTAATGCTTCTGCTTTCCGTTTACTGTTACTTCAGGCACGGAAACTTCATGATTTCACAGAGAACACGCTTCAACCTCAAAGGAATGACAGAAATTATGTACTGACATCACTCCTTCTGCATATATTAAATTAGAGCATGTTCTTTAATTTGACGTGACAATTGTTGGTCTTGTTGGATACAAGCTACCAGTGAAAAGCCTTATAACAGACAATTACATTATGTTTGAAATTGTGAGGAAAGTTTGATGAACAGTAATAACCAGACTACATATATATGTAAATTTCTTAAATAGCACATACATTTCTGGCCACAAACTTATTTGACTTATTTTTTCAAGCAAGGACTTTGAATGTAATGTAGGTCAGTGATCGTACAAAAATCAATGCACAATCCATATGTTCAAACCCTGTGATGGAAACTGTTCGGGTTTTTCAGTAATGCCTACTCAGCAAAACTTGAATAGACTCTTTTTGATTTTTTTTTAGCATTTCCATTAAGTGTGGTGCCTCCTAACAGTTACGGTTTTAGAACCTACTTGACTGACTACCAGTTGTTGATTGGCCAGGGGCTCAGATGGGCCCTTCACAAGAACACTGCCTATTTCAAAAACTTGGCAAAAACAAACATCCAATTTGATTATTTATGTGATCTTTAACGTTTTAAATGCCTAATCCTGAACCAAAGCTGCTGTCCAACACAAGGTTTGACACATGTATAGTTGCTACAGTGTCTTTAATTGCTGGCCCGTGCTTGTGCTCCATACAAATTATGTTATGGACCGTTGGGCCAGTCATTCCATTAGGCCCTCATTTGTAATGGAAAAGTATGTACACCAAGCTTTGGAGAGGTACTTGAATACTAACGGAATATCCCCATTTGTGGTTCAAGGCAGTGTTATGGTTTATTTCATGTTCTCCACCTGTTTGTGTGGTTCTCATTGTGGGGTGGACGGTGTAATATAACATCCGTATTTGTTGTGGATTCCATGTTCAATGCCTAAATGCTCCAGTCTTTTCTCCACATTGCTAGTTTGTTTGTTTTCCCAAGTGGTGCAACACCAGCCAAGTATTCAAATTACTCCAGATTTTTGTGGCCCATATCACAATCTTTACCTTACCTTGTAGAAAACCTGTAACCAGGTCTGCACCAAGCACCTATCAGGAAGGAGGCCCCTCTGCAGCATCATTGCTGATGTCAGACCATGCACTCTGGTTGACACTAATCAATCTCATTTACCACAAGATTAATAGTTCCACAAAATTTAATCTTTGGCATCTGGATTAACAACCAAGACAGCTGTTTGGCCTGCTCCTAAGTCATTTCCTCCTTTACTGTGGCCACAAGGCAGAGTGTTGGCGTAAGCAAAAACCTTTAAAGCTTAAATTCCACTCTTCTCACTCTTAATACGTTTTTTCTGTGGTTAAGGTGTTCTGACATCAAGTAAAGTATCTAAACAACTATGAAACCCATGACATTGAGCATGGAGCGTGACCAAGTTCTCTGTGAGCTTCAGCATGAACTTCTCTGTGAACGATCGCAGGATAGTACATATTGAGTGATGCTGTATCAAAGGGAGTATTTGCTAATGCCTGAACTGAATCACTGAAAGATAAACTAGCTTCATGGAATACTCCAACTAACTTGAGCTCACTGTTTTCTCCCACTATCATTGGCATGAGAAAAAGGAGAGGGGAGAAGTGTTCTTGTCAGCTCCAATCAAACCAGATAAAAAACCAGCCCTCTTTAAAAGAGTTAGCGCAAGAGTAAGTGGGCTGAGGTGATCATAGTTAGACATTTATCCATTTGAATTTTTTAATTTTTTCAGATATTTCTCATCGACAGTCCTCTCTTTCTCTATCGAGTTTAATTGATTCAGATGCAGAGGCTAGTTTCATTGAGTCAAGAGTTCCTCTGATAAATTTAGAATATTTTCAAGTGAATAAGTACTAAACCTTTGTGTGTCTTCCTGGGGTCATTCAGTGAATCCTGGGGTATGAGTGACACAAGGAAAACACAAGGGTTAAGAGCAAGACCCTGACTGAAATAGTACCACTGTTACGGTTAAAATGTCAATATCAGGAAACCATCTTCCCCACTAGTATTGGGATCCATGCACAACACACTTTTTCTAAAACATAGAAATGAAGGCAAGATCCAACAACAAATTGCAAAGCAGGTGAGGAAAGCATGTATGTTTTCTGGAAAAATTATATTGTTCTAGTGACTGCAGTGGTTGAAATTCTTCTGTTAGCGGGACTTTATCAAAAGATCATGTAAAAAGTGATTAGTCAAAGATATTGAGAAAGGTGAATATTGCTATTTGTTAGCGATGGAGCGAGATCAAGAGTAGTTATCCTCAGAGTCTATAATAGAAGGAGATAACAGTTAAGGTAGTGTAGGATGGCTGTCCCGTTGACTTCTTTCATTTTAACCAATGTACCAGTTGTGTTCCAGGCACTTATTAATGACAGATTGAGGGACTTTTAAAATATTTTGTGTATGTTTATCTTGATGACAACCTCAGTTTCTTAGCCAAACATATTGTGCACTTATGACAGGTCCCACAATTTCAACTCAGATACAGTGACACAGTGTTGACACATTGACTTTCCTTGATTGGATCACCCAGCAGGGCAAGATTAAAGTTGATCCTGACAAACCTAAACTGTAACTCAACTCAAGTTTGGCTTTGAAGTTTATTTTTGGGGTGGATGTCCCTACTGTAGGAGTTGGAGCAGTTATCTTCCATTCGGACCATGGACATACATTTGAAGACACTACGTATTCAGAAGCCAAATAGGTGCGCAAAAGCGACATTGATGATTAGCAATTAGTATAAAAGACTGTGCAATGTGTGCAGTTTTGGTATGAATATGGGTGTAGTCAAGACAAAACGAGTTTGTGAGGGAGGGAAGCAACCGAGGACTTTGGTAGTGAGTGAAGATGCGTTTTACTGGACATGAAGTCCTTTGACCAGCGGGACAAAAGAGTTCTTAAGTCTATTTTCTATTGGAGCACCTCAGAGACAGTAGCCTGCTGCTAAACAAGCTCGTCTTTCTGATCAGTGTCTGGTGTAGTGAGTGTTTTTTATTGTCCACAACAGGCAGAGTCTTTTCCAGGGTCTCTCTGCCACAGACACCAGAGAGTTATATTTAACACAATTAACAGAATATTTTAGAATTAGCTTTGATTCAATGACCAGTTGCAGCAGTAGAGAACATACCCACTAATTTGTATGTCTTTTTTTCTTTATCCACCCCAAAATGTCCTCTGATGTGCAGCACATTTTTTTAAATCATAGATTTGGGAGGGCATGCAAACTAGGACTGAACATGCCATGTCACCACCCATAATATCACCATTGTCTTTGACAAGCTTGACAACTTGATATAACTATGAATCCTGCTCCAAAGCTCCTTCAGTTACAGTAAAAACTGCTCTGTCCCTGAGAGAGTGAAGCGCCAACAGTTCCACTCCTATGCTTCAAGTACAGATGTTCTCAGTCAGCAGCAAGTGTGGTTGTCACCGTCATCAAACAATTTTTAGCCTTGATAATATGTCATTACCTACACCTGGTGTTTTATTTCCTTTTACACGAGACATTTAGTGATGTAGTTAGAAATTTTGCCTGAAAACATAAAGTACTAACTACAGAAGCAACTCTTTCATCACAGTAGAATAAGGGAGAAGCAGCAATGACACAAAGCAGCTTTGGTTTGATGACTGCTGATGTAATCAAACTACTCTGAGTAACTTTTATAATTATTAAAAATGTATTCTTAATTTTAAAACATCCTGACTGTTAGCGTGTTAGGCCCACTAGCCCTGTTTCAGCCTGTTTCAGCCTGTCTCACAGCTTTTTTTTGTCACTTGATATCAGAAGCAGGAAGTTGTTTAGCTCAGCAAATTAGTGATTCTCTTAATCCACATGATTTAGCTGTTTTCGTCAACGCAACATGGCATGATAAAAGCCCGTGCAACTAAAGGCAAACACTTAGAGTGGAAGCTTCTTATATAGTGTGTTCTCAGCTGGAATTCTGAATTTACTATCACATAAATCTATGCTAGCAGGTCTTGGATTGTTTTGTATCATTTTCATGCTTAGAATAGACACCGTTGACGTCCTCTAGCATTGTGTGGAATGTGTTCACACATTGTTGAAGAAAATACATAGTCACATTATAAAAAAATGTTTGAAGTGTAGACATTTTAGAGACACTGTGAAACCTAACTCTTATGAATAAAACAAACAATAGACTCACATTTAAGAAGATTGTATATTCGTGTTATGAAATTATTTGGAGGATCCTCCATATCTTGCTTCACAACCAGATGTTTTCATAAATGGTGTATTGCTCAAATCTGAGGTTATTTAATTTCTGCATGATTTTATTAATTTCTTCATGGTCTTATTTTCATCATTGCTTTGTGCTTTACTAAATCGAGATTTGGCTTATAAAGTATCTCAAAATAGAAGGAGCAGTTTACTTTAATTAGGAGCTCTCAAGGGAAAATTCAGAAATAAATACTTTTTTTCTGTGCATCTTTTTAAAGTGTTTGTTATCTCAAGGTTTTGGAATTCTTTTTTCCTTATTGGGATAAGCTCAATCCCCCCCCCCCCCCCTTGCCCCCACCTATGACCCTACTAAGAATAAGCAGTATAGATAATGGATGGCTGAATGCATTTTTCCCTCATTGAAGTGTTTAGGAGTTGTCTTGATCTCATGGTGTCAGCAACCAGATTGTACTCCTTGCTTATCACCACGTGAATGGGGAGACGGGGAGGACAAGTGAGATTGTGTGCAAGCCTGTATGTGCAATGGAGCAAGTGCATCGTCACCACCACACTTCTGGTCATGACTCACGGCACACAATACTTTTCACTCCTCTCCAGAGACTTTTATTTATTTTTAGCCGAGTAATGTTTTATACACTTGAGCTCTTGGTCTGTACACAAGATGAAATACACTTGGAACATACATGATGAGAAATTTACATTAAGGTATCCAGAGATGCTGTAAATAGTGTCTGTAGTAATAGTGGTTTTTAAACGGCAATCAATCTATATGACCTAAATAATTGCGCCTGGAGTTTGTAAACTTTAGAACGAAAGGTCATATTTGTAGATGATGTTTGGATTTCTTTCGCAGTCATCGCTGCTCATAACAGTGGACGAGATAACAAAATCATAAACTGTTTTGTTTTGGTGGTGAAAAAAAAAGTCATTACACATTTGAATTTAATTGACACAACTCTTCAAACAAGGAACAATTAATTTATTTATTATATTTATTTTTAGGTTGGAACACATTATGATGTCTCACTTATAACCAGAATGCATAGAATGCAACAGTCACAACAGAAGACACATGAAAGATGAAATGAACTGCAAACATATAAATATAACAAATTTCTATTTACAAGACTTTTCATATGATTAGTTTATATGAAAAGTCTTGTAAAAAGAAATTTGTTCAATTTATATGACTAATATTGAACACTACAACCATAATTTTAGATTAAGAAAGGCAATTTAGTCTAATTTGCCTGAGTTACATGTATCCTTTCAATGCTTTGTGAGCTGCATCTTCTCCTGGCTCCTTCATTATCCTCCTCTCTCATAACTCACAGGGGCCTGAGGTGAGGATTGGCATGGGGAATCCTGACTGACTGAAACCCAGCGTTCCCCTCCCATATCCAACTTTATGATCCACTATTCCTCCATTCGGGACACCTGCTCATACCAATCCCTGTTTCATTTTGTTTTTCTTCTCTTCTCCATCCTGTGCATCTCCTTCTCCTCATCATCCTTCCATGGGTTTTCACAAAAGGATTAAGTTAAAAATCCTCTTACATACTGTGATGATGCATTAGATCTGGTTTTACTTCTGAAATTTCAATTTTTGATTAGAAGTTTAGAGTAAGTATAGAAGTAAGTATATAATGGCTCTTTTTGCCTCATGACTTTTTTCAGATTTTTAACCACTGGAAAAAATAATGATCAAGTTGAACCCATGCAGCCTTAAACTAACATGATTACAAACTGTTAAATCTCGCACACACCCTTACATATGTCAGAAACACCCAATTTCACACGGAAATTCTCGTTCGTATGCTGACGCACTCCTGCTGACAGTGGCTGACTCATTGTCTCACTTTTTTTTGTCTGTTTCTAATTTATATCTTATAACTGAAATTAATGTTTTCTAGGGAATCCAGACTACGTAGATTTTTATGAATCAAGGGACAAAAAAGAAATCCAGCCTGATGCTGATTGTTGGGATCGTGTTTTAATTTTTTTAATAAACCAATGACAAAAGTAATTGAATATAATGTAGATTTGATATTTTTAGTAACATTTGTGGAAACCATCTGTAGAACGTTTCAAATATATCACAAAAAAGTAAAGTGAACATAGAATATTACATCTACTTAGATAAAAACATTTTAGGTAACTGACTGAAATTAGAGAGGGAGACACAAACCATTATTTTCTTAAAGAAAAAAGGTTTCCTCACACTGTCACTTGTTAGTACTTCTATTTGGCAGTTTAACAAGTTGAATGTAACATTTTCCGTTTGTTTTTGCTTGTAAGTAACTCTCCACTCATGCAGGTTTTAAAAACAAATATGAAATTTGCAATTAGCTTTCCCAAAAATGGAGAACATTTAAATTCCTGATCCCTTTCCTTTTCCAGATGGATTTTTAAGTGTAGAAGAAAGGAAGACAGATGACACTCGTCTATGAGGCTTACCTTTCAAGAGTTTCACCTATAGGCACTTAGATATGACTTTTTCTGTTGCTTTATCAGGGTTTTTTTTAACTTTTTATAGCCTTGCTATGACTAAGTTTTTATCTTTTTTATGTTTATTTTCTTAATAAAAGTTCCATAAATCATTTTACAGAATCTACATTTCAACTTTTTCTAATTGTCAGTTTAAGAAATTAAGAGGTTGTAACAGCACGTCTTTTTTTGTAAATTGTTTACAGGACTAAAAAGAGAAAAATAATTTTTTTCATGTTAGAAATATTCGGATGCCTTTAAGAGCTTGAGGCAAAACATGCAAAATTAAAGCTTAAATGCAACATCATTCATATTACCTTAGCATGATGAAATTCGAGTTTGCAATTATCTGAATTTGTACTATCAAAAGAATCGAAAAGCATTCAACCAAACTTTGATAAATGAAACAAAACCTTTGTTCTGGTAGATGCACAATTGTTAAAATAGGCTACAAAATTCTCAAATTATGTTGAGATCGAACAATGTACAAAATAATTTTGTAAATTTCTATGGTTAGACAGTTTTCATCTTTCAAACTTGCCTAACTCAGTCCACTCAGCCACAAAAAAAGATCTACTTTCAGTCCTCATTTGCTAAGTTCACATAATGTTATCTATGTAGAAAAAGCCATTTTTAACTGCAGTTTCAGACCTATTTTTCTTTCCGGTATTTATGTTCTTGGAAAATGCAGCTAAATTGGTGGAGTAAGTACTTTTAATGGGCTGTTCATATCCATGCTTTTAGGCAATGGCTGAACATTCAGCCAACTCATAAACAAAGTTGTTATGCATCTGGATATGTCTCACTGGAGGTTTCAATTGTGTCATTAAACTTATTTTATACTAATTTTACATCATATGATTAAATTTACAGACCCAGTTCCATTAATGTTGAGACCATGTTCAATATGTAAATCAAAACAGATTGCAAAGATCTGCAAATCTCACACGTCAACATTTCATTAACAATAAAAACCAAAAAACAGATTAAATGTTGACATTTAAACATTTCATGAAAAATATCACCTCAACTTTAATTTGATCTTGACAATAAAGACTTTAGGATACTGGTAAAGACGACTCAATGAGATATTAAGTTATTTGGCAACAGGTAAAACGCGATTAACTTTAACTTAACTTTAAAAAAAGGAATCTTACAAATATAGTTTTAGATTATTACCTCATAAACCTATGGATATTCCTTCACCTACATCCCCTAATGTGTATTCATGTGTATTCCAACATCAAGCATGCGTACAGAGCTGTACCCCTTCCCCACCTGGGCCAGTCAGACCACCTCTCCCTGCTCCTAACTCCAGCATACACCCCTCTCAGTCGACAAACAAAGCCCACAAAGAAGACCATCACCACCTGGCCTGAGGACGCCCTCCCCCGACTACAGGACTGCTTCGAAAATACACAGTGGGAAGCCTTCTATCACGAAGACCTGGAAATATTCACAGATGCAGTACTGTCCTACATCAAGTACTGTATTGGGAATGTCACTGTTGAAAAGAGGATCTGGGTGTTCCCAAACCAGAAACCCTGGATGACGCGCCAGGTCCGTATGCTCCTCCGGGCCCGTGACTCAGCCTTCAGGTCAGGCGACAGAGCATTGTACAGCGCCGCTCGTGCCAACCTGAAGAGAGGCATTAGGACTGCCAAAGGTGAATATAAGAGGAGGATAGAGGAACATCTAAACAATCCAAGGCAAGTGTGGCGGGGCATACAGACCATCACCAACTACAAAGGCTGTGCTGTGACACCCGGGAACTTGGATGCGGGACTTGCAGAGGAGCTGAACAGCTTCTATGCCCGCTTTGAGTCTCACACACAGCATCCAACCTCATCACTCCAACAACCACCACAACTTCAACCAGCCCCCCAGCACACCTCCTCCCCCCCACTTACTCTTAAGGCACAGGACGTGTGGCGGGTGCTCTGTGCAGTGAACCCCAGGAAGGCTGCAGGTCCAGATGGAGTACCTGGGAAGGTGCTCAAGGCATGTGCTTGGCAGTTATCACAGGTCTTCACAGACATATTCAACATATCTCTGCAACAAGCTGTCATCCCACCCTGCTTGAAGTCTGCTATAATCATCCCGATCCCTAAAAAGTCACCCACGACCAGCCTCAATGACTTCTGCCCCATTGCACTCACTCCAGTCATCACCAAATGCCTAGAGAAACTGGTTTTGAGACACATAAAAGCCTGTCTCCCCCCCCACCCTGGATCAGCACCAGTTTGCATACCGGACTAACAGATCCACCGAAGACGCCATAGCCATCGCTCTCCACTCAGCGCTGAGTCACCTGGAGCAACGGGAGAGCTACGTCAGGATGCTTTTCATTGACTTTAGCTCAGCTTTTAATACAATAATACTGGACAATCTGATCCCTAAGCTAACCGACCTGGGGGTCCCACCACCCACCTGCTCCTGGATAAAGAACTTTTTGGTCAACCGACCCCAGCAGGTGAAACTGGGTCATCACCTCTCTTCTTCCCGCACTCTCAGCACTGGCTCTCCACAGGGCTGCGTGCTGAGCCCATTACTCTACTCTCTCTACACATCCGACTGCAGTCCCGCCCACCCAGAGAACATCATCATCAAGTTCGCTGATGACACAACGGTGGTGGGGCTGATTACAGGGGAAAACGAGGCGGCCTACAGAGATGAGGTCCTGAAACTTGGCGAGTGGTGTGCATCAAACAACCTGGCACTAAACATCAACAACACTAAGGAACTCATCCTGGACTTCAGACAGAAGAAAGCCGCCCCTGCCCCCCTGTACATCAACGGTGGATGTGTAGAACGAGTGGAGTCCTTCAAATTCCTTGGCATCCACATCTCTGCAGACCTCTCCTGGTCAGCCAACACCACAGCTCTGGTCATGAAGGCCCAGCAGCGGCTACACTTCCTGAGGGTGCTCAGGAAGGAACAACTAAAACCTCAGCTGCTGGTGACCTTCTACCGCTCCACCATCGAGAGCCTGCTGACCTATGCTGTGACAGTGTGGCACTCCAGCTGCACGGAGGCTGATAGGAAACGACTGCAGAGAGTGACAAACACTGCAGAAAAAATTATCGGCTGCCCTCTGCCCTCTTTGACTGCCATCTACAACTCCCGTTGTCTCAGCAGGGCCAGAAAAATCCTGAGGGACACCACCCACCCCGGCTTCCATTTCTTCAACCTGTTGCCCTCAGGCAGGCGCTTCAGGTCAATACGGACCAAAACAAACAGACTCAGGGATAGCTTCTTCCCCAAAGCTGTCACCTTACTAAATCAACATCTAGTACTCCAGTTGTACTAATGTATTGTATATGTATGTATGTGTTATTTATGTGTCCACTTTACGGAGCTGCTCTCCAAATCTCATTGTACTGTGTACAATGACAATAAAGGCTTTCAATTTCAATTTCAATTTCAATAAATGATTATTTCAAAGAATCTTGAGATATCTCAGAACACAATGAACATGACCCATGAACATGAGAACTATACTGACTGCCTTTGATCCTCAGGTCCTCATAAGGCACTGCAGGAAAAAAAATTCTGATTCTGTCATTGAAATTAATTCATGGGTGCAAAAACACTTGAACAAAACATTGTGTGGTTGCACAGTTCACTGAGCCGTCCATAAATGTAGTTTAAAGCTCTTGAGTGTAAAGGAGGAGCCATAACCTTTATCAGACTGCTGACTGAACCCTTTCCCTGTCATGCAAATGAATGGACGACCCTTGCCCCATTCTTCTTAGTGTAATCGATGTTGAGAACTCAAGGACAGTCCCACTGCTCTGCTCATTTTCTAAAAGCAAGTTCCACTCTTCCCCACAGACACCAAGATCTCAGCCTTTATTATCGTACTTGTCTGCTATATTTCTTGTTTAGTCTGTTGTTTAAGTAAATTTCTAGGTGTGTAGTCCAATGCAGTAGTCAGGACTTTCTCCTGAATCAGACTGAGCCTTTGAGGTGTGGTATGCACTCCCTCAGAAGAAAGAGGCGTTTACCATACCTGCAGTCTTCTTGTCAATCCATCTCTTCTGCTGCCTCTTTACATTACATTTCGAGACAGATAGGCTGGCGTGAGGGAGAGAAAGTGAATGCTGAGCATCATGTAACTTCTTGAAGAGCATAATAACCGTATTTGCTTTGTCCAGACTTCCATCAATCTGATCCTTTTTCACTTTAAACCAAATGGGTGTTTTCATCCTTGACCACGTATTGTTCTCCTGGTGTTTGTTTTCTAGATTTCCATTTTTTTTATATACACTTCCTTGATATTTCTTGTTTTCTATTCCAACTCTTACTTGAAACCTTTTCATCCTTGTTCAGTTTCATTTACAGGTCACTGGTGATCCTGGTTTTGCTTTTGGAAAAGCATTTTCTCCACACAGAAATGACTATATTCTTCAACACTAACAGCATCCTCTTGGATGTTATTCAGCTTCTTGAGAATACTTCCTCAAAGTCCTCATTATCACAGATGAACATTGTGTGTGTAGGTTGAGGAGTCGGCCAGGTTGTGGTCTGATCTGACTTTTGATAATATTTGTTTTTACTTTATGCTACTAACATATACTGATTTTCCTGCAATTTAAATTTTTGTTGACATCCTAATAGTGGCCATGAAATTTGTTTTATACAGATTAACATTACTGTGTCTTCAAGGCAAAAAAGGAAAGTTCACTGCAGGTTTCGCTCTAAACAGTGTGTGTGTCTTTGTATATGATGTGTGTATTTGAGGGAACGAAATGCTACTTGCTTGCAAAGGAAGAAAAAACCCCCACAAAACTAAATAATCAAATGAAGACGCAGAAAACAAAAGACATTGACAGAGATTCTGGAAACCAACAAAAAAGAATGGAGTATTACGTTTGGTAACTTCATCTCCATGAGAACAACCTAAAACCAGGAGAGCACTGTATTAAAGAAGTTATTGATTATTGAAGGACTTTCATTCAGTAAGTTATTTTTCCTAATAATTTATTTTAACAATGTTTATTTCAGTTGCTGCATAGTAGAGGAATATGAGGTACTACCATAGCCCACCCAAAATTATATAAGGTTTTTGGAAGACTCTTATATCTCTTGTTATTTTATCATCATTAAAATCCATGCTTCTTAATCTCAGTCAAATTTCAAGACTATAGTTTTAACATCGTTGATAGAAATACAGTGAACCCAAACACCTCTGATTTTGCCCTTGGGTAGTTTAGTTCATTATTTTTATTGTTATTAGTATAACATTTGCGTGGACGGATCAGTATTTGTTGAGTTTATTTATCTTGATAGGTCTTTAGAGTGAACTACGTGTGTGTAGTGGTGCCATATTCTAATCCTTTTTTCTATGACCATATATCAGCTGATGAAAATAAACATAAAAAAATACCACATTCTTAAAGATTAGGGAGTCTCAGCCTTTCTCCAAAAGTGTTCTGAAACTCCTTTAACATCACTAACATCAGTAAGCAAAATCCTTGCCCTGGAGCATTAGTTAATTTCTCCTAAAATTATAAAAGTGTAATAAAAGGAAATAGTCTGAATTTCTGTGTGTGTGCTGGCGCTCAGATATCTTATACACCTATGAGACATTACATTAGACTGATTCAAACAAATCTAATATACTTTATTGAAGCCATTTAAAGATTTAAAAATCCCCCTTAAAATGGTAAAGTTGACACTTTTTTGTCACACAAAATTCAGATTTAAAAAGAAAACTCTTGATGATGACATGAGGATGATATCAATTTAAATGAATTTGGTTGCAAATTTCGCACCTTAAAAATAAACATAACATAAGTAGTGTGTCATGTGGTGGGTCAAGTGTAGTACCCAGTCAGTCTAGTGTGTGCTGGAAGTGTGCATGACATTGCCACCTTGGACATGAGTGATGACTTTTACTTTACTTAATTGCAAGGTTTCCACAGAAAGCGTAAGATGTTTGACATCTGATTCATAGTATGAAATCACAAAATATAGATTGTGTAGAACACAATGCAGTGTGTAAATTTAGCATCAACTGATTGAACAATAAAAAGTTGTACTGAAAATATCAGTGGTAATTTTTCAATAATTTAAAGAATTCATAAACAGTGGGTTGAATCTTTATTTTTTTAATCTTTTTATGATACCACTGGACATTAAGAAAATAAGATGCAAATAATAGCTAAGGAACAAAGTGTGTGTGTGATTATTACCCTTTTCCTTCTTTATTGGTAGTGCAGGGGGTAAAGAAAACTGAATGAGAGTGACTCTAAGTGTGTATGTATTTGTTCACATAATTTGTCTTAAGATATATTTTTAATTCAAAATTGAAAATAGCAATGAATGTTGATTTTTTTTTTTTTGTGTTTGGAGGGGAGATAATTTTCCTTTATTAATCAAACACAACAGCATTTACCTGATCAGATACAGGCGTTGTGTAACGTCAGCATATCTAAGACAAACGTGAGTGATGCATGTCACAAACACCCACATGTCGAAATAATAATGTCTGTTTTGACTTCCATAGGTTGAAATAAGCCTTTATGATCATTCTACAAGATTAGATATATATTTATATGTTTCATATACTCACAATGAAACACACTCACCTGCAAAAATGATCAAACACACATTTGACAGTGTGTTGATGTGTGTTCACACTTAAATGTACCACATTATAAGAGCAATATATATTTCAAACTTACTTTTTAATTCATCTTACTGAATAGGAGGGAAAACAACTTTGTGTTTGCATGACTAAAAATGTTGTAATGTGTGGTGTTAAATTTATCTCAAAGACGATGCAAAAATTATGCACTTTTTTTAATACTTTCCTCATTTGATGTAAAAAAGAAAATACATTTGTGATTATCTAAATTTCTGTTCTTCCTGCAAAGAATGAGGATTACAGGTTAATGTTTAAATGCCTAATAGTCTGTATATATTTTTTTTATCGCTCAGTGTGGGTAAAATGAGGAAAATGTTTAATTTTTTTTTTTTTAAGTTTCTATGTTGCCTATCCCTGATGTAGACAAGCAGAATTCAGAATTGTATGTCTGTGAAATTGTTTGTTTGACCATAAAAACCTTTATAGTGATTTTTAAGATTTTGCTCTACAATTTGAGGTTTGGTGGAATTGTTTCTCTATTCAATTTTAAAATATAGCACAAGCTTCGAACAAAGGTTTTAACACACTTCTGAAAACAGATATTTGGTAGTGTATTATGAAGCTACCAATGAATGAAAACAGACACACACAAGCGAATATGTGCTTTTTAAATGTGTTATTTCTATCCTAAAGATAGAAAAAAACTGTTTGACACTGTCGGTCTCAACACTGGATGAGACGTACATGCTGTAATGTCTCTGTCACCTTTGTGGGACCTAGAGAATATGAAACTATAAGAACATCTGATGAAACGGGACTGCAGGTTTGTAATAAATTAAGTATCTAAGGCGTCACTGCTAACATTAATTGCTGGGACGGTGTATTGAGTCTGAGCTGATTGTCAGATATCTGCAAAGCCTTACATATGACTGACTGGACATATATTTGTTAAAGCAACTTTTAGTAGAGTTTCAAAAGGAAAGTTGTTCTGAGTGTTGTGACAATCACTTTGCAAATTTTTTGTGTTTTAGTTTAGGTCAAAATCTGTTTAAATGAGAATCTCTGTACTTAAAGTTTAACCCTGGGCTTCTGTTTGAACTTAAATCTTTGAGATACTATACAGCCAATTTGTTGTTACCACTCAATGAGCTGACTGTCAGGCTTGTGAGCTCTTCTGCTCCAAATTCACTGAATGATGCATATGTCCTTTGGCATCTTTACCACTGTTGTTTATCACATCCACATGTGTATTTTTTTCTTGTCTGCTTGTAGGATGTTATTTTTGTTTTTGTTTTTTTGCATAATTATAAAAACCTTTCTGAAGCAGTGCAATCCAACATAAAATGGCTGACAATACAGCTGAAGTACAGTGTCACACGGATGCTGAGATTAATTTCTTCACCTTGGTTTGCACTGAAAAGACATTGGCATGTAAAAAATTACTACAAATCTGACAATTCAAATTTGACGAAATTGACATTTTAGAAGGATTTATCTTAATACATCTTTACTTTGTTTTTTTTTTTCATGTTTTGTCTCTCTTTTTCTAAGGCAACATAAGATAATCTCCTTTGACAGATGTGATTCATTTTCATAGCATGGAGATGTCTAATAAATTTATCAGTAACTCACTGAACAACCACTATTTTGATTAGAACGGGAGAAGGAATTCTGTGCAAATGCAATCCATACAGACTCTGTCAAGCTCAGTCATCATGGCTTACACTATATAGTAAAATCTCTACATTTGTCAGTGAAAAAATGTTTACTGAAAAGATCACATTTGGTCTTGATACTGGGGAATAAGTGAACAAGTTGTTTATACCTGCTTGGATAGCTGCAGAAAGAGGTACAAGTATGCAGTGTAACGTTTAATGTATTTTTACTTCAATATGAAACACATAGATATACAAGCATCACAAATGATACAGGCCAATGTGATGGATTGAAAGTAGGCATCATATACAGACAGCAGTGCTTAGCCACAGGAGTTAGCAAAAGGAAATATTAGTGTGCAAAAAAGCAGTTTCAAGTCATCACATGACTGTGTTTTAAAATATATAAAGTAAGACTGACAGTAAGACCTAGGTTGCCTCTCATGTCTGTTCATGTTAACAGCCAAAATGATGATGAAGAATTAATTGTGAGCCGTCTGTCCTACTGCCCAGAAGGACTGAAAACAGCATGACACCCATTATTTGTGTCCCACCCCAAAAGTCTTGTCGCTGTTCTTGGTGCTCACACAATGTTTGTCCATTAATTACGGTCCCAATTTTTTTCACATCACTCTTAGTTATCTTTTACACCCCTTTTTATCTTTAGGTGTGTGTTCCTGATACAAAAAAAGACCACTGATAGTGTAAAAATACCAAGTCAACAGAGAGAAGTAAAAGTTGTTTAGCTATGCAGGGAAGAAGGGGGCCTAAAGGACGAGCAGACAACACCTTTAGAACCTGGAAAGTCAAGTTTGATGAGGACCCAGCTGTCCCCACCCATACCAGTGCCAGACTTCTGAGAAGGTTTGTGGGTGGGGTTTTCGAGAATGTAAGGTCAGTCCATTAGGTGCTTTAGCAGTCCAAAAAAAACAACTCTTTGCCTCTTTTTTTTTTAAAAGTTCGAATTAGAAAAATGTCTGAAGATGAAAAAAATAGACTGAGTAGTCTTGAAGATAAACAACCCAAAAACTTAGACAACATTATTTCATCTGTCCATAAAGGCTTCATTTACCAAGCTGTCTATCAGTTAGTGGGGCGGGGAAAAGACAGGTATCCTGCAACCACGATTTAAAGAGGTGGAGCAAAGCATGAAAGATAGGTCATGTTCCAACAAGCATTTACAAGCATTCTGAACAATAACCCAAGCACACAGTGTTGGTATTTTTTTAAGTTGAAATCACCCCACCCATCGAATTTTATAAAACCTGCAACCAAAGTTTTATGACAAATTATATATTAGCCAAAATGCTACTGGATCAGGTCATATTCTTATATTCCAATGATATGGTAAAGTTTAATAGCTTAAAAAATGTTTACACACATCCTTGAAAAAAAAAATTGAACATAGAGTCTGATGGCAATGAAAAGAGGACACTTTCACACACTTTTGTTTCTGCTGTTTAACTGACTTTGCATGACACACAAAGTGGTGGACTGGACACAGATACAGGTATAGAAACATTGTTTTACAGAAGTGATGAAATAACAAGTTAAGTGTTTAAGAAGGTGAGACTGATAGTATCATTGATGTGACTGTTCATTTTCAGAATGATATTTAAAAAATGGTTGAATCAAATATGCTGTCATTGGATCACAGACAGAGTACCTACACTAACGGGTTTGACACAATGTTTATTTATAGATATCAGACAATATAGGGGCTTCACACTAAACTAGTCTGTACGGCTACTTTTAAGACATCCAAATCATTCATTCATATCTGTATGTGTGTGTGTGTGCGAGAGACAGAGAGAGAGAGAGAGGTAACCCAAAAAAGGAGGTAGAGAACCGAACAAAAGTACTTCATTTGCACAATATTCAAAGAGTTATGCTGAATTTTTTTGTTTTCCTAAACCGACAGCAAGCGAGCACAAAAATACAGCAAAATGAACCTGTAACACAAGAAGAGGTGTTAAGAGCCCTTTAAATCAAATTAGCCAAGTATGTTTGTTTCACACTTATTTCATCTAAATGTATAGTGTCGGAACCACAATAATTTAAAATATATCTAGAAAATGTAATCAAATAGTTTATGCGTTCTTTTTCCCATTTGCCAGCTTTTTTGCCACAAAAGAACTTACGTATGTTTGTAAGAGAAACTGTGTGTTCTTGTTTGAGGGTACTCATGATTTTCTGAGACTAAATGTGTGTGTGTGTGGGTAAATAAAAAAAGTGTTATTGTTTGAGGCTACTCATGATTTTTAGGACGAATGCGTTCTTGATTTGCTGTTGTTTCTGTTGCGATTTTTAAATAGGGATCCTTTGATTGAGTATGGCTACATTTTAAAACATATTGAGCAGGATGCACACACAATCGCACACAAATGTTCCTTGAGTATGCAAATTAAGTCCCTTCAAACTCAAAGCATAAAAATATGGGACATTTTCTCCAAACACACTAATGCCAGTGTACAAACCCATACCAGAGTCTCACACACCTGTGAGGATTTAATGTGTGTGCTTGTATGCATGTTGTATTTTGAAGTGGTTCTTAATGGTTTGATTTTAATAGGAAATACAGACATGAACAAACACTAAATGAGAAATGTTTGTGCTTCTGTTTAAAATGTCATGAGTGTTCAAGTGCAGGTGTGTGTTTGTGTAATAACTCCTCACCACTAAGTACGTATGGAGGCATTGTGTGTGTCTGTTTACCAAAAATATTTGGTTTACGTAGTTTAAAATGAAGCTCTGACAATGTGGCTGCTGTCACATTACACAGGGCAGCTACACACTCAACAACATCCTATGAAGTTGGCCCAAACATAATGCAAATGTGTATGCTGTGTTTTAATTTTATTGCTGTTAAAAAGTTCATAGAAAAATAATCTTTGCTCTGATCTGATTTAAATGCTGCTAGAAATTCTGCAAATTACATTTTTTAGGTAATCAGTTTACCAAAAATACAAGAGAATAAATTGCAAACATAAGTAATTTGATTAAGATCAAAAAGTGAATCGTCTCTTAAATCTTAACCCGGCCACAATTTTCTGGTCTATCATGTATTTTGAATGATAAAAGTTTGAGGTGGTAGTATGTTACATATCTGAATTGTGGTCGAAAGGAAGAAGAATAATTATATAAAAACTGCTTCTACCTCAAGCAGCTTACACCAATGATAATTTCTTCGATGATTAGTCCTTCTTTGGGTGGGATCTCTAAAAGCCATAACTATGTACATTTCTTGTGTGTGTGTGTGTGTTTTATTAATATGCAATTAAACTCATCTGAGGGGTGTGCATAATAAAACATGGCTGTGAGAAGAAACAAGGCTGTGGGTATGTGGGAATTTCAAATGATTCAACGCAAAGGATGGTTTGTTGAGAGGGTGTGCTCAATCTGCATCGATTGTTTGGCACTGAATATTACTCACCTGGCAGATATTTTGTGGATGCAGCTGTCAGTTTTTGGAGGTCAGGCTGGAGATTCAGGGGCCGTCTTTTGTACTTTTATATCGTGAAACCGTGGGCAAATTTGGGGTCTATGTTACCGTGTGATTTGTGGCGAAGAAGCGTCTGTTGAAAAGTGATCCTGTAGCCTGAACCGAATCTGCTGTGCGTAAAGAGTGTAAATGGCGAGACTGTACATACACTGTGAGTAAATGACACGACCTTTACAAAGTGTCCTTTGTATGTCATTCTTAGTTGTGGAACACCCTTTGCAGGGAAGAATTCACTCTAAAGCTTTGCTCGTGGGAGCTCCCTGCGCTGTTCACTCTAAAACAGTGCTGAAATCACACGTTTCAGCGCCACACAGAAGATCGGCACATAAAGGGCGTAGGAAAATCAGAGGAAAATAAGACATGTTTATTAACAGAAATCATTGGCTAACTTCGTCAAAGTATGTAAAGAAACTAAAATCCGATTCACTAGTCCTACAAACATTATTGTACATCAAGTCAATTCTGCATGTCTATTGAATTCGCTTTCGAGTCAACGGAGAAAATACATATTTTTAACTCGACACACAAAGGTGGGCACAGTGGCCTTAAAACTGATACGTGGCTCTCTGCTGTCAAAGGGGACAGGTGGAGCAGAGTGTGTGTGAGTGTGTGTTAAAATTGGATTATAAAATATCTGATAAGACAAGAGAAATCTGGTATGTATAGGAGTGTAGGAGGGGGCAGAAACTTGAATGTAAAAGCTAGGGTGGTGTGCAAGTGTCTGACGGTCCATCGATACCAGGAGGCTTAAATAACCTTTCGTATACACAAAAAAAGTATTGAATTAGAAGGTTTGAAGATGTCTTATATTATTTACGAAGATAACACTGGTAGAAAATACAAAACAAAGAAACCGAAAAAAACAATTTGCTTAACTTTTAATGTTTCTTAAAAGTGAAAAAACCTTTATAAAACGCAACATTACGGCCAGGAAAAAACACATTGTAAATGCTTATAGTCTGAAGTCAAGATCATACACTCACACATAGATATGGAAGGATTTAAATTGTGTACAAATTAATTTTGTCTAATTTTGTTTACAGCTGCTGAGCTGCAATGAAACAATCGGAATGGGAAGGTGGAGTCTCAGCGACCACTCGGACTGCAAAGTGTGTGTGTGTGTGTTTGCTTCTAAGTTGACGCTCCTTATTTATTCTGTTACCTAATAATTAGATTTCGACTGACTACGTTGCACTATTAAAAAAATCAGCTGTTTTCAAACCTGATATCAAATGTTTTTGTTTATATTAAGCAAAACCTACAAACATACCTTATTTTAGAATTGTAATACGCCATAAAAAGTTTCCTGTTTACAAATCCCTGTAAATGTTTTCACTCTGTTGAGGCTTTTGTTCATTTTACTGTGTTCACGTAGTTGTGTCGCAGTGACTCAGAAACAGCAAATGCAGCTCATGCCATCTCCTCTGAAACTGTTACACAACTTGCAGCTCCTTCTTCGTAGTGTCACGTCGGCTTCGCTCTCCCCCACCTCACACTTGTATCAAATAATTAAAGCGGATGCCTGATGATTTTCAGCAAGTAAATGCATTTTCATACTCTTATTCCTCTGCTGTGTACACGACAGGGTCTGCTTTGTGCCACAGTGCCTTGGTGTACCACAATTTCATGTTTAGTTTGCCCCTGAGGAGTAGGAGCTGGAGAGCATGGCGGCATATCGAGTAGGCTGGAGACAAAAAAACCCAAAGCAAAAAAAAGAATACTGTGGCATTGAACCGTTCTGGGTCGGAGAGAGAAATAGAGAGTACACTCTGCAGAGTGCATCGTGACTGTTTTTTGTGGTGACACATCCTCTACTTGTCAACATGACTGTCTTGCCTGTGTGCATGGACATTTTTAAAACAGTTTAAATAAAACGATGGAAATGTACGAGTCTGTCTCAGTGTTTATGTAACACACGCACACACACATCGCATATCTTCCATCCTGTCCAATGTTTTGGATGGGGAACTTACTTCAACTGGATAATATCGCGAGAGTGGGAAATGGAGAGCTAAACTGGGGCTTGTAGTTTTCTTTTTGGGAAGCTGTTAATTAAATGTTGCTGCACAGGCCGGTGGGAGAGCTATTTCTGGCACAGTTTGGCTAACCAAACTAGTTTGGCACTATGATGCCTCAATATACCTGTTGTCACATATTTTTAGGGGTTATCAGTAGTGTGATGCAGAAAGAATACCTAAAATAGACGAATGACTCATGCCTAGCCAGGAGAAGGCTGACCTCATTGACTGACGTTATTTTAGCCAATGAACAGTCTACCGATGCTCTCCACTAGGTGGAACGACTCGCGCATTCCTCACCAATGGGAGCATCCCTTCATTCATGAAGTGGTATGGGCAGTTTTTTTCTCCTGTTAGTCAAAGCCGAGGTTTGGAAGGTTTCATAATTCTCACTGAAACCGTCAAACCTGTTCTGGCAAGAACCAATGAGGGGCCCCGGATGGGACCCTTCCTAATGCTATCCAATCGCTCATCACCCGGTATCCCTTTGTCCCTCCCCACTTCATACAGAAAATGGAATGAATGCAGAATGCTCTGCATTTGATTGACATTGAAATGCGCCTACTGGCTGAGTGGATCAGACGAGGTATGCCTGTTGCAGCCTGTGAGAGGCAGAGGTGGGCGGTGCACTTTAAATCAGGCTAGACAAGTGTTGGGGGAGTGTGTGTGATGCTACAACCTCCTTATAAAGGGACTCTCTCTCGCGTTGTGGCTTGGAAATTAGAGCATTGCCTAAAATTGAGGTATCCACATACACAATCTCAAACACGCCGAGTCACCGAGAACCGCTGCCATGAACCGGATGAACGTTGAGGAAATGATCCGCAGGGCCGAGACGCCTGTCTTCTGGGTCGGTGCCTTCACTGTGGCCTCCTTTTCGCTGTGGCTGCTCTACAAGCTGCTCTTGGGCATCAGGATCTGGGTCTTGGGAAATGGACGGCTGCTCTCCCCGGCGCTGGGCAAATGGGCAGGTGAGTTGGGTTTCAGCAATTTCCACGCCACTCACCCTACAAGGGGTGCCTCGTAGGTTGGGAGGTGGACTCGACATGCACACACCAAACGAGGTTATTGGGCTCAAAGTTAACTTTAGGCAATGGAGCTACATTGTGCTGCGTTTTTGTGATTTAACTGTAAAGGAGGTTGATGTTACGTAACAGGTGCAGGTAAGATGTTGAATGAATGACGAAATGTTGGTCTTTATAAGCTAAAGTGGTGACCCCCCCCCCCCAGTCAAACACAGCAACGTGTGCTGCCACTGCCAAGGGCTCCAATCAGCGTTTCACCCACATTTGGAGCGGCAGGGGTTGCCCCACATTGGTGAGCCAGGAGCCCAAATACGCAGGCAATGCGCACTTTTCAGAGAGCTGTTTTATGTGAGTGAGGTCTCAGCCCGACCACAACTGAATCACTGTAGCTCAGCCGCATGATGTAGGACAAATGCGTTTTGCTTATCCAAAACTGGATCCACATCTTGATAATTTTAAAGCTTTTCCATTTAAAGATTTTACACTGGAGTGTTCCAGTCAATCTGACACGTCTTTTCAGACTTTGTAGCTATATCTTTAATTCTATATACTTTCTCTTACTTCTATCGTCAGTATCTCTTTCACATTTTCCTCCCAAGTTTTGGTGGCCCAACATACAGTTTTGATAATGATAGGTTAGCATGTATTAGATTTGACTCCCATTTGCATTTTTCCTTTAACATGCATGGCCAAAAAGTGCTAATGTAGCGGCCATTCAAAAGTAGGCTGTTGATATTTGGTAGAGACTAGGCTCTCAGGATTTGCGATAACCGCCAGGGCTTGACCCACTTCCTTTGGTCTACTAGGAGAAGATTTCTGTTTCTGGAGATCCTGCTGCGCATTTTGTCTGGCTCTCTCCTTCGCATCGAATAGCCCGAAAAACAGATTATTAAATGCCTTTTTTGTTACAAAGGCTTTCCCCCCAATAAATTGTGACGCACTTCACTTTCAAATCGCCATTTATTTTAGGTATAACGAATATTTATTTGATGCCCCATGCGCCCATGGGGAGAATGAAATGCATAACGCAAATGTAGGGCGTCTTTAGGAATGACTAATGTACTTTTTCTTGTGATTCTGGTTGAATATGCGCAGGAATGCCAGTCCATTCCAGCGAGTTATGTGCTTGTTCATCGTCACACATTTGTCATGTCGAAATGGTGATCGCCAGCCCCCAGCAAATCGTCATACAGTACCACCCATTTACATGTGGGGGTCTTCTCTGTCTTCTGCACAACCAAATACGATTTTTTTTATCCATATGCACCAGCAGTCAGGTTTTGGTGCATCAATGACTCAGATGTGACGCGTCCAACGTAAAATCCTCTAAACGCATAGTTTGAGGGTGAATTTAGAATTTTTGTCTCAATTATCCGGTGTTAATTAAATCGATTACACAACTTCTCCATTCCACCACTTATGCTCTTTACGCACCCTTTTCGTAACATTAACTTGAGTGCCACTCCCTGAAACCAGTCGTTGGCACCGGTCTGACAAGTCTGACGTCTGTTCTTAACCTCAGCGGTTGGACGATGGCAGGGACGTGAACGCATGAGAAAGCTTTGTGTTGTGGGGGATGCAGATCTCCTCCGCAGGTTCAACCAGATGAGCTGGTGGAACCAGTTAAGGAGGGGAACAGAGCAGATTTTTACTTTGAAAAAAAAAAAAAATCTCTCTTTAAAGCTCACTGGTCTTGACTTTCCACCCACCTTTAGAGGTGCATTTTGCAACAAGTTCTGCAACTTTTTGTGGCCGTCATTTTCCGTTATTTTAAAGAGTGTGAATTTTAAGATAGTCATCTGACCGAACTTTTTCTTTTTGTATCTAACTATATCTCTATCTCTGACGAATTCCCAATCAAAGCGATATTAAATGGCTTTACTTTAAGCTAAGACTGCTTTCTTTATGAGAAAATGACATCGCGTCTTGTCTGGAGCACCTATGTAAGGGGACAAACTATAGTCACACCGGTATGAGCATGGGCCTTACAGCGTTTTTATCCGGGAATAGATGAGATCTTCACAAATTGAATTAGAATTAGTAAGCAAGTAATTTTCCAGGTGTGTGGTTGATGGAAAAGTTTTGGTTTTGGTTAGGATATCTCAGGAGTTCCACCGATTGCTCCTCTATTCAGGGGCTGGTACTCCTGGTGGCAGAGCGGGGGCACTGCGGCTTTAGTCAAAACGGCTTCCCCCAGCCACCGCTGCTTTGCCGGCACGCTCCCCCTCCCCAGTCAGCGTAGCCATATCCTGCCAGCTCAGACACTGTCTGCAGCTCAGTTTTCCCACTTTTTATCTAATCTATTTTTCACTGTCCTGTCCAAAGAAGTGGAAACTCTCCGAAGGAAATGTTGTTTTCCCCTGCCGAATTTGGGTCACTGTACCTGGAGTTTCAAGGTTGATGCCGTCGAAAGGACAAGTTGCCCTCACTGATTATATATCTGTATATGAAGGCTTTATAAGTACGTGTTTTTGCGATACTATGTCAAGATGTGATAGCTTTTTACCAGTAAGGCAATATTCCCCATCTCATCCTCTGATCCATTCTCCTCCAGTCTGAGTGCCCCAGCGTCTCATTATGTAAGAGTGCCTTTGTTCTGTTGCATGTTTGTAAAATCTCCATTACAGGGGAAATAATTTAGAGCAATGGGATTAAAAAAAATAGATCATTGTGTCTTCCCCAAAACATCTCTTCCCCACCCTCCCTATTGACAATAGTTTATTTAAGAAAATGGTCTGATTATATAGCTAGGCTACAACAATTCATAAGTACAATACATGAGCAACAAATTTGGGGTCAGCACATATCCAAGAATTTATAGTTGGATGAGACTGAAGGAATGACGCTCAAGTTAATCACCTTTAAGATGAGGGAACATTGGTGGTCCGTATTGGTGGTACTGTCACTCATAAGTCTCCTGTTTTGTTTTTTATGAATTGGCATTGAGGTTTCATTCTTGGTAGGGAAGATGCAGACATGTGAATGAAGTGTATCTCTGCACCTCAAATGAAGCAGGGTCTCCACTTCATCTTTGCGAATGTGCTTCCCCCTAGTGCCTTGTACGTGTGTGTGGGCAGAGAAAAAGAACATTTCTGCTCATGTGTTGAACATGCTCTATCGCATGTGCCAGTGCCAAGGATCCTGAGTAAAATAATGGGAGTAAAAATGCAAAGTGAGTAAAAATCCTATTTACATATAGATTACATTTTTGAAATCTTCACAGGCAATAAAACTTGTAGCTATTGTACAGCATTAAACTGATTATATTCCTGTATCCACTCGAGCTTTGGTCTTACTTGCCAACACCTTCTCATAGTATTTTGTCCCTGAGCTTATCCTCTAGGCAGTTTCTCATTTCCACAAATATGGGCTCATTTAAAAAAAAATTATCTGAAAAGATCTTTTAAAGATGTTTGAAATTAGCTGTGGTGATTGGTCATGTTACTTTTATGTCATTACATAGAATTTTCTGACCACCACACATTAAGAGGGAAACTCTTTATTCTCTTTGTTTTGTCAGTGTCACTGAAATGCATTCTTTTTAACCTTCTTGATAAGGGTATTTTCTCTTATTTTAAACTTGCAAATTTGAAATTGTTGCAAGTTTATGAGCATTTCACTTCAGAAATGTACCTTTGTTCTGACATAGGCTTCTTCAGTTAGACTTGTTTAGCTTGAACAATAAAGGTGAGGGCATCAAGTGCAGTTATGAGGTAGCTGATTAGTCATGCCGTTGAGCCTCCCAATACTGGATGACCTGCATATTTGGAATTGCTTGTTTATGTCTCTTTGTAAAGCAATGCCACACAACATGCCAGATTTTTTTTTCTTTTTTCAGTCATGTGATTTCAGGATGTTAGTCTTTCTAGGGTGATCTGTCGCAGAGGAATGAATTGTGTGGAAATTGAATAAAATAACCATTGCGATATTAATGATGAAATGTCACCCGACACACATTGGAATACCCAGGTGTAGAAAATTGTAAAACTAATCTATGTATAGCAACTTTTCCCCCCCTTTTTTTATGGAGGTAGGGTCATTCGCATCTTTACTGTTAGGGAAAAATGTGGAGCCTAACATTCTGTACAGTCATTTGGATCCAACATGAATAGGCAGAAAAAATGACCTGTGCCCAACTAACTTATTCTTTAGCAGTTCATGTTTTTTTGTTTTTTAACTTTTTTTTTTTCTACCCTTCCTCGTTTTCGTCTTTTTGTTTTTTTTGGCATCAACAATATGACTTAATACTCTTCTATTTACAGCACTATATGTTTGAATGTGTAAGTTGGCAAATGGAGTATATCTATTCTGGGGATGTCTTAATGTTTTTCTGCATACACGTGTCCTTCCATCCATTCCCTTTCTTTTTTGAGGTTGGAGGGGCTGCTCATTGATAGGAGAGCTACGGATGAGACCGATTACATAACGTTGAAGAGAGTGGGGGTATACAGGAACTGCAGTCTCTCTTCACTGAGAATCTTAATTGGGAGCTTGGTGAAAATGTTGGCACTAATTTCTTTATCATAAGTGCTGATTCTCAAACATGTTTTGTTCTTTTTTTTAAATTCATTTTTAAATTGGCTCTGCATTACTCCAAATTCTTGTTTGTGCTGTTCCTTTTCCACTGCTCATCATCAAATCAGGTGCCTTTTTTAATTTGCCATCAGGGTTTTGGGTGGATGTGTAGGGATTTGTTAGCATCATGGCAGTGATAGCAGGGAATCTTGTTTGTATTCAGGTGTTGCAGCGGGCAGGCAGCTCCCAGACGAGGCAGTGCAGGAGCTGCTATTTTTACTCCTGCTGCTTTTTTTAGACCCTTAGAATAGTGAGCAGGCAGCAGCAGGGGCTGCTCCACTGCTAAGGGAAGGAGGGAGACAAAAACGTCAAGGGGGATGTCAATGCCTCTGATTGTGTTGTGCAGCATGAGGCTGAGCTACAGTGCAAATGTGCCCGCGTCAGGATGCGTCAAAGACACAATAAGACAAGTTTCTCAAAGGTGTGTGCCATGGGAGAGAACAGCGTTCAGAGCCGTTATGATAGGAATAAATGAGAGCCTGCAGGGTGCACACACAGATGCAGGCATTTGCACTGCTTTCCATTGTCCCATCAACACACTTTTACCGTGATGTAGGAGCTTGTATCAATCAGGTGCTTTCTTTTGTATCCCTTCTTTATAGTTTTTCACTGATGTAGCCCACTGCTCACGAGGGCAGTTATGCCCTTGCTGTAGTATGTGAGGTGGACTGAACTTAACATGTTTATTGTCTTTATTTACATTTTGTTTTGGACATTGCTCAAAAGGTACATTTCTTTTACATCTGAACCTTTTTTTTCCTAATTTCTCAAGCCTGAAAGCGCAAGATCTCACATGATGGGTCCCTATTATGGGCACATCTTTGACAATACTTTTTGAGGAAATGGTACCATTATGTAACGGGTAGGATGAGTGCATCCATTCATAAGTACAGCACAAGGACTTTGGGTGCTGTCTAGCCCACTGCACAGTGTTAAAAAGAAAAAATGCAAGTGTCCTTGGGAGAAATAAGGAGCAGGATGAATTAAAGTCATCTCCAAACATTCAAATTACCTTAAAAAATCAAATGCTTTCTTTCTTTTTTTTCTATTTTTTTTTTTTTTTTTTTCAAAGTCCATTATGAGTAAATGTATGAATCCAGGTTGGTTTTCCTTTTTTCCCATTTAAACATGTGATCTTGTGTCCACATAAACTTTGGTTTTACTCTCCATTCAACCTGCAAACTTAGTAAGGCAATAATGCCTTTTCACAATACCTTGTGCCTGAGCTCATACTCCGCACATTTAATTTGTATGAAAATATGTGATGGGGAAAAAATAGTCGTGGTTTTAGGTCATCAAGTTACCACCACAAATGTCACAAAAACACGATAAGAGGAAAACTCACTTTTCCATTTGTGCCTTGTCACTTTCACTTATCATTGTTTGTTCTTTTTAACCTTAATGATAATATTTGTCTTCTGTTAAACTCTATTTTTCAGTTTTGTAAAGTTCAAAGTGACATTCAATTTGCTATCAGTAGTCTGATACTAGGAATTTATCACTAAATATGTGATAAAAGAAGCACATCGGTATGACAAACTGCAAGGTCATGTTTGCTTTGTTTAAATCCTTTTTCTTGATTCTTGATTAATTTCAATCTTCATATTTAAACTTGCAAGTCCTTTATTATATCACCTCAGCTGTCACAAGATTTAGCCTAATCTTTGGCGACATCCATGTTGTTGCTCCTACAGATGGATGACCATTTTGATCATGTTGTTCTTGCTGCTTAGAATGTGAGGGATTTTTTTTAACACATTCCTTTTGAAGACATTTCTGGTTTTGAAAATATTTCTGCACTGCCTGAATAAGTCTTTTCCAAGAGTCAAAAACCTTTGAAAGAATGGAGAAGAAAATCTGCAGTTGCCCTTGTTCAAAAAACCTGGGTGACGGTCAATCTACACCAGCAAATTTCTGCTTAAGTTGAAAGTATGTGTCCACACAGACAAAACTGGAACATTATCTATCCCTAACTAAAGTGGCACACACCTGCATGGGTGCGTTTCTCCATTTCAAATGCATCTTTGCAGGAGGAGCCTGACCTTCAAGTTCAAAAGGTAATTCCTTACATGCAGATAATGCTCATGAAGTGATGCATTCTTGCACTACTGTACCCTAAAGTTTCAAAAGCTATACGTGCATTTTGGTGCATTCCTTTGGCATTCCAATTTGCAGGTGCACTTTTTGTGCTCCTGAGCCTCGGTCATGCTAGCAAAGGACGTGCATCTCAAAAGAATTTTGTAGTTTCATAGGAGAGGAATGTGGTTGATCCACTGAAGTGTCATTTTGTTCCTTGAAGGTATCCATTATTAAGAATCATGCAAGGTACCCTCTACCAGTCAGTGTTTTAATCTTGTGTTTAAACAATCCATTTAAACTTCTACACTCCAAATGTGATATTTATAATCCTATGTGGATGCTGTAGTTCATAAAGGGAATGAGCCTTGTAAGCCTCATGTTGATGGGGGATTGTCTCCACCCCAGCCATTTTGCTTTGCAGCAATTCTATCCTCTCCCTGCCTCTTTTTTCTCCCTCACCTTCATCTGCAGCGAAAACTGGATTTAGTACAGCCTGTGCCCATTGAGGCTTTTCTGCCAAAGCATTTCATTCTTCAGAAAGGGTGGTTTTAAAAATAACTAGGGATTTGGTTATTTTTCACTTTTGACTATGTGCGATTGGCTCTCCTCATTTACTCACTGGTTCTTTCCCCCTCTTTTCCTACACGACAATCACCATTCTTTCATTCTACTTCACTCTTTTTATCCTCTTGCTTGGCTCCGTTTCTATTTTTAGCCACCCCAGGATCCTCCCCACCCCACTTCACCCTCCTCCTGCACCATGTTCGTCATCATCCCCTCCTTTCTGAATCCCCTATCATCTTTTTTTTCTTTTCCCTAGCTCTTTGCCAGAGAATGTCCTTTACCTCTATTAATCTTTTATTAAGCCTTGCTCATATATTCATGATTCACAACTCGCTATGTGTATGCGCATGTTCATCAGTACTTCCAGTCCTCTGACCATGACTGTACCCTTTTGTATGTCTTATGTTCATTCCTCAACCTTTCCTTGTGTTTTGACCATTCTTCTTTCAATCTACCCTTTCTCCTCACTATCAGTCAAGCAGGGCCTGAAGTTGATGGGCAGTGAGGGTTTTGAATAATGGCCCTACCTTAGTTGACAAGGGGACAGAACTCTAAAAATGTGAAGATCGTTGGCTTCCCCATCAGCTTACTCAGTTCCCTTATGTTTAGGCTTTTTCATCTTCTGCACTTTTGTACATCTTTTCACAGTTTTTTTCAAACCATTCTACAACTCGCTTCCCTGCCAGCATTTTCTGTCCTAAACTAGACTACAAGTTCACCCTTCGCTGTTAGATTTGTCTGTACAGAACCAACTCACAGGTGGCTGTGGTGGCTTCTAATTTTTGGTTGGTACTGTAAGCTTTGTGAATAATTTGTTCTCTGTATTTAATGCGAAATGTATTGTTTTTGCAGTTCTTTTTTTCCTTTTGAGTAATGGTACTGTTTACTATATCTTCTTGGCTTGTTTATCTGCTCTACATCCAAATGCAACACCTTTTTGTGAATTTTTACTATATTTGGATTGAAAAAAGAAGGCAAAAGGAAGATAAAAAGTAATGGAGCTTTATTGCTTAAGGTATTCTTCTGACAGATTTGCTTTTATGGCGCTGTTTAATCCATGACTTAAGTTTGTCTTAACTCAAAGTTGAACAACACTGACAGTTGCAAGTAGCCTGAAAATATATGAATATACCATAGAAATTCGACCAAACATCTGATTTACGAGTATGGAGAACTTTAGCCAGAATAATTCACTCCAGTTATTGGCAGTCATGGCATGCCTGACGATATGTAACAAAAGTTACTATAGGTTTCAGACAGGGATTTTAATAAAAACATTCTTAGTTACTGTGGTGGATTTTTTTCTTTTTAAACAAGCGCCCTAGTCCATGTCTTAGTAAGCAACAGATAATGATCCCTTTTATGCCATAAATTTAGCACAAATCTAGCACAAAGTAAGTGTTGTTCATACAATGCACAAATCTGCCCTGGAGGGGGAAAAAAAAGTAATGCTACATTCTATAGACCTCCCTCAGCAGAGAGCAGGGGAGCTGTGAAACCTATGACCCACACTATCCTGATGGTGAGATTTTGGCAACAGAAACATCCCCAGATGTTGATGTCTGGCATCCCTCCTACAATACAGACTGACCCAGTGGGCAGTGACTGAGCCAACAGATTTTACTTCTGAGAAACCTAAGAATAATGTAGCAAAATTACTAATAAAAGTGAGCATGCAATTGGATCCTAATTTTTCCATCACAGAAGCATTCAGCTTAACAATGTTCATCTGCCCATACACTGCTGTGAGTTTGAGTAGAACGTCTACCAACTTCTTTGTCTTTCTCTCCAGTTGTGACGGGTGCCACGGATGGAATTGGGAAATCGTATGCGGAGGAGGTGAGAATTACTTGAACCCATATTTAATTTTTTTTATTTGGGGCGAGGGGGGGGGATCTATGACTCATTCACACACAAGCACACACTCGCAGAACGTGTTTACACTTTGGCCACAGTAGAGGAGAGCTCTTAGAGGCCTGTCGGTGTCCAGAGGCCTCACAAACGCATGCAAACACAAACCAGCCACTAAGAGCACATACTATTAACAAGCCCATGTTAACTACAGGCTATCCCGTCTTGTTTTTTACCCATATCAGTGTGGTTTCAGTAGCTGTATAAGACTTTCTGTTCTAATCCTCTTTGGCTCATGCTATTTTATAACAGTGGGACTAGCTGCAAGATGTGCAACAGGGTTAAGTCAAGTTGATGTAGTTCTGATGTTAACCTTTTCTTTTACTTCTTTTTTTTTTTCAGTTGGCTCGTCGAGGATTTGCCATGATGTTGATCAGTCGCTCCCAAGAAAAGCTGGAAGATGTGGCCCGATCACTTGGTAAGTGTGTATGGAAATGCGTGTCACTTTCTAAGGTATAATGGAAACATATTGAGGTCAAAAGCACAGTGTGAAGGATGGTGAGAGCATGTTTGTGTGCACAGCCTCCCATATTGTTAGCAGATCAGCTTCCCAGAGCCTCTGGTTTTGAAGAGGTGTATATATGAGACACAGAGTTGTGTTTCACTAAAAGTTTACAAATCGTAGGAAAGAATTTAATGAGAAAACCCTTGTCAAGAGTGTGATTTACCATAGTTCTGTCCTTCATCTATTTCTTATAGCTACTTGTGCCTTTTTTATGCTACCAGAATTGTTGTTTGTAGGACTCAAGCAACCCTGAAACCTGGCTGTGTTTTTAGTTCCTGTCTTTTCTCATCAGGAACGAGTCTGATAAATTAAATTCCTGTACAAATCCTTGACTTTTGGCATATATTTGCGAGACGGAACAGGGTTTCCTCGTTCAAGTCTCTAACGTCTCTTTTTTTTTTTCTTTCCTTCAACTTCATCCTAGCAAATCTCCACATATTAGCTGCTATTGAATGGTGAGCATGGCCCTCCGCTCATCTGAAAATTATACCCCTATCCACAACTTACTCTTTCCATCTGTCTCTGATGATCCCACAGTGCAATTTCCCCTATCGTGCTTAAAGTCCATGAAGGGAGGCTGATGGGTAGTCATGAGCAGAGAGCAGTGTGCCAAACCCTGGTACTCTTGCCTCATGATTAGTCAGTGAAAACCACCTTCCTTAGCGTGCAACCTGGCAAATCATCCTGTCAGACCTGTAATTTCATTGTTGTGCATGGTTCCCTGTCTTTTCTGTGAAACTCTGTCATTTTTTTCTTTAATGTATCTATTGGCACATCCAAATTACTCTTCCAATTTGACAACCTTATATACTGGATTTATGCAGACTCCAATGACAACGCATCTTTTTTTCCCTGGTGTTACTTATTAGAATTACTGTTCAGACTCCCGTTGTATGGTGCACATGTCCCTTCATTTTCTCTACAATTTCAAGTCTGTATATGACAAACTGACACCACTGGTCTTTACTGAGATGCACGCCAGTATTATGACTCCCCCGGTCATCTATCTGATGAGGGAGTCTTTGGACAATACCTTCTAATTGCAGCAAGCATGTCAAACATGACCAAGTAGAAGACCACTAGGCTGGTTTGTTGGCACACAGTGCCCTCTTCAGTTGCAGTCTAACAATAACTAGTTTCATGTTGCTTTTCATTCAAATGGAATCCGGATTTTCTGGTATTCTGTTGTGGGACCAAGTACGTGGTTTTCTACACATGATATGACATGTAGCAGAATAAACACAGGTACAATTGACCTTAAATGTCTACAAGCCGCATTGTTTAATTGCTTTTGAATATTTCATTCTTTTTTTTTTTATGATTGCGTCATTAACAAACGCTTGCCCCACGACTTGCAGAGGAGCAGTATAACGTGGAAACTAAGACAATTGCTGTTGACTTTGGCAAGACGGACATCTACCCAAAGGTCGAAGCAGGATTGGCTGGTCTGGAAATTGGGGTTCTAGGTAAGAGCTCGCTGCTACCTTTTATTCCATAACTTATTAGCTTCATGTGATTTTATTGAGACTCTCTTTTGAGTACAACACAACCACATAGCAAACTTTTGACAACAAATTACTTTATTTAAATGTCAAAAATGTCTTTTGTGACTTTTGTGCCATACGCTTTCCAATTTATACTACACTTGGATGCCTATGATTTACTGCACAGTATAGTATTTCTGTTCAATTTATCAGACCTGTTTTATACTGCTACATAGCTGTGTTAGATTCTCTTTGTTACAGCACAGTCATTCCATCACTGAAGTGTGAAACTGATAGATTAACGCTCCTCACCAGTCTTCTCCTTTTTGAAGCATGTGTCAATTTTCTTTAAGTCAGTGTCAAATGTAGAGTGTAAAGAATTCAGAAAATGCCCGCCATCTGACACTAGCTGGAGATGTGCAGCATGTTTCCAGATTTGCTGACATTCCAGGTGTTGCCTGTAGGCATTTAGACTGGAGTTCACGGTGTACTTTTCAAATAAACATTTAGGAGGACTCTTTTTTCTTTTTTTATGACACCAGTTGTGCTCTTCTGTTTGTAAGGAGTGGCTGTGTATCTGGTCTGATTGCTTTTGCTTCCCCCTTGTGGTAGTTATTTTAGGATTGTTTGAGCTCACAAGCCCTTTTTTATGTGTTGTGAAAACAGTGGAGTAACAGCTTCTTTCTTCTTTTTTGTCCCCATTTTGTCTCATGCAGTTAACAATGTTGGAGTGTCCTACCCTTACCCAGAGTATTATCTCCATATTCCTGATTTGGAAAATGTAAGTAATTCTTATTTGGAGAATAACCTTTACTTACTGCTAGTTCTTGCAGCTAGTGGCTCAGAACAAAGCTTGGATTTTTATAGAATTACTTATGGATTGGTCTACATAAACATGAATGTTCATGGGTGGTGCTGACTGGTGCTTCTTCTGTTTCAGTTCATCACAAATATGATAAATGTCAACATGACCTCTGTGTGCCAGGTAGGTTTGTCAATCTGAAATGATTAGGCACAGATTCATCAAGACCCACCCAGACTGGTGACAGACACCTTCCCCTGGGTGTCACATCAACCCTACCCCCTCTTTTTTAAATGTTTTATTTTTATTATTTGGTACTCCTTTTTCTCCTTCTCATTCCTCTCTGTCTATCATGGTACCTGCAGTGTCTCAGCTGTTCCCAAAGCAACCATGGACTACACCAACTGTCTGTACTCACCACCCACGCAACTCTTTCACTCTGCTGGTCTCTGACTGTCTCCCCCTTGCTCTGCTACTTTTAGTCTTTTGGTGTCTCCTTGTTTTATTTTGTGTTCTGCCATTTTCTGTTTGTTTTTATAGATATAAACTGATCTCATTGTGTTGTCTTTTCTAGATGACCCGTCTTGTGTTGCCCAGAATGGCTGAGAGGTGAGTTAAATGCTTATCTTCTATGTTTTGAGACATGACTGCAGTCAGATATTATTAACTATGGACAGTGACCTAGAAATAAATAAAAGGCACCTCATAATTGAGCAAATAAGAGTGGAGGAGTATTGGGGGGGAAAATGCTGCATTTTAAAAGCGACTGTTTTTTGCGTCAGGAAGGGACAAGAAATCTTCACCAAGCCTTTTCCATCACTGCATCTCTTTCCCTCTCCTCCTTTGTACGCAATGCTGACAAGCTTTCAATTCGCACAAAGTGCTCTTCCAACCTGATTGGTTACCCTGCTCCCATGTGATATCTGCTGGCCAATAACAGTGTAGGCACATTTGGTGCCGTTTGAGGATGGAGCATTTCAACTACATCACTGCAGCAACAGGCTGCCATGGCAACGCACACAGGCACTACCACACTGTTTGAGTTTGTGTGTATGTATGTTAGCATGATGTCGTGTGTATTTGCGGTGTGTTAAATGTGTATAGAAACAGGAGGATGAAATCAATTTCAAGATGCATACATGCATTGTTTTGACTTCTGTTTATCAGGAAAGCCTTTTATGAAACTCTCAGATTATAATGCTCATGTTAAACACCTATGTGTATTTAGCAGATGCTTTTATTTAAAGCGACTTACAGTGCAGATACAGCATTACAGTTGGCATCAGCCTAACAGCAAGGTACATAGAAGGAAATCACTTGTCAGACTCTGTTATTGGTAACAGTGGTAACAGTATAGAGATAGAGCAAAGGTAGAAGCACAGAAATGGTAAAGGGGATGGGGAGGTATAGGGTAGGAGATCTTCTCAGAAGACCTTGGCCTACAAGAGTTTCTTGAAGATAGCCAGGGACGCCCCTTTTTTGCAACAAAAAATCCTCACCAAGCCATTACCGTCACTCTATCTCTAAATTCATGATTTGTTTTGTTTTTGTTTGTTTTCCTGTGGAATTAAATTAAATGTTGAAAATTGTTCACGTAAAGTGTTGTATTTGTTCAAATGATGAAACTAAACTACAATATTTTAATTATTTTGTTTTATTGTCCTCAGGTCCAAAGGTGTCATCCTCAATATCTCCTCTGCAAGTGGCATGTACCCTCTCCCTCTGCTTACACTCTATTCATCCACCAAGGTATCTCTTAAATCTGAGTTTTTAACTTAACACATCTGTTTTTTTTCTTTTACCAGATAATTACTGCATTATGTTAAGTTTGGCCATCTTAAATTGTTCTCTGTGCAGGCCTTCATGGATTTCTTCTCACGTGGCCTTCAGGAGGAGTACAGACGCCAGGGCATCATCATCCAGGTTAGCTTGGAGATTGTCTCCTTTCAAGGAATACCAAGATTTTCAGTGTCTCATTAGTTGTGATATAGATACATGATTCCTCCTTAAGTTCAGGTGACATCAAATTACTCTAGCCTGTTACCCAGATGATGTAGTTACCTTTTTAAGATGGAGTCTTTTTCGTCCTTTGTTCCTATCCACATCTACTGCACATTTGCACTATGAGGACTAAATAAAACCAGTTTTCAAATGGCGAAAATATATTGTTCCAAAGGAGACTTTATTTTTTCCAGCACTCATGGGCCATCTTGTGGCTTGAGTGAATATAGCAGTTTCAACTTAATTGTTTGTTTTCAACACTTTACAGCAAACTTAGTTTTTTGTTTGTTTGTTTTTTAAGCTTACCTTTTCATTTTCAAATTTTCCTCTGCAGAGTGTGCTGCCCTTCTTTGTGGCCACGAAAATGACTCGTATTAGGAAGCCAACACTTGATAAACCCACACCAGAGCGTTATGTTGCAGCTGAGCTCACAACTGTGGGTCTGCAGAACCAAACCAATGGCTACTTCCCTCATGCCGTCATGGTAAGAAATGGGGATATTTCTATTATATGCAGGAATGCAGAGAGTAAACTTGAAAATTACTCTCATTAATAAGAGGTCAAAACTAAAGATTTCCTTCTTTAGTAGACCTTAAGGCTTGACTAAATCTATTTTGATAGCTTTTGGAAAGATACATTGTAAAAAAAAAAACAGATTTTCCATTTTCATACAAAGATAAACTCTTGAAATAGTTGGAAATGTAAGATTTTTGTTTATTCTTAATTTTTTTTCATAACAGGGTTGGGTGACCACCAAGCTGGTGCCAAACAGCATTGTTATCTTCCTGGGAGCCACAATGAACCGCCTTCAGCGCACGGGATACCTGCAGAGGAGGAAGCTGCGGGAGCAGAAGAATGGAGCAAGTTTGAAAAGTGAATAGAAGGTCAACTATTGATGCTGGCAGGCCCATTGCAGTGTTTGGGAAAGATGGAAATGTGTATAATTCATCCTCTGAAGTCTGCCTAAGATGCAACCGATTTGTGCCTTTGATTAAATGTGCACATCAGAGCATGTTTTAACTTGTTTGAAACTGCATTTGTCTACCCTGACACTGGTCTTGGGAGAAATGGCCAAAGTAGTTAAGAAGTGATATCATAAAGTGCTAATATTACCAAAGGTCAGCAATATTTGTTGTTTGTTTGTTTGTTTTTGGTCAATGACACTGATGGTGGGAATAATAGTGACGTGTTTAACCCTGCTGTTGTAGGCAGTGGAAAACGGTGATGGGTATCTTGTCATTTTATGTAGAACTATTTATTGTATATTTGTATGAACACACGAGCCAGACCCAAACATTTTGAAACCATTTTGTTTACTAATCGGAGACCTTTAAAGATGGCAGTATCTGCATGTCACTATTTTTAATCATATTAGTTTACTTGTTTCTTTGGATAAACTTGCTGTCTTTTTTTCTTTCCTTTTTCCGGTATTGCATGTTTGTTTATTTAAATGTCACACTATGGTGGGTTAGTAGATGCATCAATTTATTACTTCGAAGCCAGTATTTTTTCATAGTGCTGCAGTGCATTCCTCATTACATTATATCTGCCAAATAGTTAGGTTCAGTGATGGGATATTTGATTTAACTTCTAGATACTGGATCTTGTCAACTGTTACTGGGAAGTACTTACCTGGGAATTACTGATTACGGATTTATTTTCTTTTAATTTGCCTAATGACAATGTCAACCTTGATATTTTTGTGTGTGTGTGTGCATGTATTTGTGTGTGTGTGTATATATACATATACGTATATGTGTATATATATGTGTGTGTATCTCCAATGATTTCTGTAGAATTTTTTTTCTTTTTTTTTAACATCAAAATTAGAAGGTTATAGTATCTGCTTTAGTTTCAGACTTGTTAAAATACAATTGATAAATATATTTTAAATATTAGATCATGGCAATGCTGATTTTTTTTTTTAACAGTCATCTCTCAAATCAATGCACCATATGATGTGCTCTGACCTGTGCCTTTGGAGAAGTAGTGTTTGTGAATGTTTTTCCTCTCTAATCTTTTATATTCTTGGAAGTTTCTTCATGTAAATGTAATATTTACAATTCTTTCGCTGATGGCAAATTATGTTTTCTACTGTTTGTTAATAAAAGTTTTGTCAAAATAAGAAGAATTTAGCTTTCTGTATACAAACACTACAAAGCACTTGGTATAGGCCTGTTATGGGCAAAAACTGGTTTAATGCTCTCCCAGAAGACAAGTAAAGCAGCAGGGCAACAATGTGCCAAATATTTTATTAATTTAGGGACTAAAAGATAAGTTCCTGATTTAATTTAATTGAAAGCTCCAGCTTAAGAAATGTAGTCCTCAAAGACCCGGAACTATGAAATTCATCCACCATATACTACACTGCAACCTTGTCAAGAAAAATAAAAGAAAAAAAATAATAGTTTTGGATGGACAATTATAAATAAAGTAAAAGATGTAGGAATAGATAACTTTATAATCAGTCCTGTGATTGTTATTCCGGCTATTCCATCATGGATCTTTGGGCAGGCTGAAGTTGATTTAAACTTATTAAAGAAAGGGAGACAGTTAGATAAAAAAGAGGTGGAATATAAAAAAAAGAATATTCAGAATATATACAAATTTATGGCAGGAACAGTGGGATAAAGGAAGGAATGCTAGATTTTATTATAGTATTCAGAAAAAGGTTGGAGAAGTAAGAAAATGTAGTAGAATTAAAAAAGAAGAAGATATTATATCTAGAATAAGATTAGTACACACAGGGTTAAATAGTAATCTTAAAATAATTAATAAACATAGCACGGGGTGTTGTGGTTGTGGGAAGCTGGAAACAGTCCAGCATGTTGTTTTTTTAATGTAATAAATATAATCAAGAAAGAGAGAGGTTATGTAGGGAGTTGGGTAGGAATAAAATAAAATTGGATATTGGGGATTTGTTTCAAATGTCGTCTGGGGATGTGGTTTTTTAAAGTAGAAGAAGAAGAAGACCCGGAACTATACTTTCAACCGCAGTACAGAGTCGGAGTTATCTTTATGCGGCACACTGACTGTGATACATTTGAGTTTATTAGGAGCTACCTATTATTATTTCGCTCCGTACTGACATTATAGGAACCTTTTCGGTAAGTTCGTTTATGGTTCAGCTTTTGTAGCATTGATGAATTCTCGTGTTCACAAAATGCTTAGTTTTCCATAGCTTTACGTTTTTGATTAACGCAACTGTCAGTCTGATTCGTGAGTTTACTAGCCAAAACAGTATTTCATTTTAGGTTGTCCAGGTTTCTTTGAGCAGACGTTATTAAAGCAAAATAAACTGCAATTTTTTATCGGTCGTATCCAAAAAGCATTTGACAGACTTGGGCACAATAGCTTCAACGAATTTCTTAAGATTGCGATTGTTAGTTCCTAACAGACTGGCCCACCTTCTGCTTACATTGATTATATGACGATTTTTTAGTTGACCAATGTAATGTAATGCAACAACATACATGTATACATACATAGCCAATCAACAAAAGACAAGGCCACTTTTTTGCCATCAACAAAGTAACCGTTAAACTGAACAAATTAAACCTGAGAAAAGTGAAGGAAAACTGGAAAGCTTATGCTTTTGTAAACCTACATTGTTCAAACTGTGTCCTCTACAGAAACAGACTCTTTTCTGCTGCACATTATTTTCTTATCTTATCGCTCTCCATCATCTTCAGAACATCTGACTGAATATCCATGAGCATAAAAGCCTCAAGAGAGGATCCCTGCCTTTTTAAAATTAATTTTACCGTGGAAAAGCTAATTTCACAAGCTACCTTTGTTACAGACGGAACAGAGAGCCCATGTATATATTGCCTCAAACAGCAGCAAAATGGACAATTTTTGCAAGATTAACAGTTTTTGTAAGTGATCTCCACTTCATCTTTAGCATCCTATGGTCCTTCTTTTGTTTCCTTGATTGCACAATACAGAAGTCTTTAACCTCTCCCACAGATGAGCTGACCCTGTATATTGGCAGTAGCGTCTTGCTCAGCTATTGTGAACTGTTCGTTTCAGTAGCCCAGACTTTTTGGGACGAGTTTCTCTGATTTCCACTCTTTATTTTCAGCTGAACTGGCTCTCATAACATTTTCTTGTGCTTGTTTCTAGTGTCATAGATCAGATGTGATGTCAGATAAGCGTCAACGTGCAAGAGTCCAGGGGTCCTGGGCAAAACAACTGCCAAAACACTCCTTTCCTCAAGGTATGCATATCTCTGATAAATGAATATCAATTCGAATGAATTGAAATAATTTAGATATTAACTCATTCAGTCTGGTTGCTTATCATTAATCAGTATCACCCATGTTGTTATACTAGAAGCATATTTGATCTAACCTTGTCTTGTGATATTTGTAGATTTCTCGACAAGTTCAGCTCCAAACATTAGTCAGCCCCAAAATGCTAACACAGCCCCTGGTTCTTGGGGATTTGGCAACCAGAAAACATCTACAACTTTTGAGTTTCATCAGCCCACCAAGGTAACGAGTATAACATTTAATTCTATATATATTCTATTTATTTCGTTCGTTCGTTCGTTCGTTCGTTCGTTCGTTCGTTCGTTCGTGTGTGTGTGGGTGTGTGGGTGTGTGGGTGTGTGTGTGTGTGTGTGTGTGTGTGTGTGTGTGTGTGTGTGC